TTGAGGCGGTCCTTGGGCGCCTGCTTTTGCAGCTCGGCAGCGAAGACATCACCAAAGGCGCCCCCAAGGTACCTCTGGGCGGCAATCATGAAGGCCCCGGAGTTGTGGTACCCAGAATCGTCGACGAGCCATTCAGGGTTTTCGTCTTTGGGGGCAGGGAGAGCTGGGACGAGCTTGAACCCGGCCTTCTCGAGGACCGCGAGCTTCGCGGAGGACTCACGAGCTGCCTTCAGGGCGGCCTGCAATTCTTTATCCTTGGCCGCAAGCTCCTTTTCCTGAAGACGAGCGGCCTCTCTCGCCTTCTTCAGAGCAGCATCTGCCTTGGTCTTCGCCTGGAGGACCTCGGCATCTCGGGCAGCCTCAGACTGCAGAACGGAGAGCCCGACCTACAAATCGGATGCGGGAGGTGAGACTTCAAAACATTAGAATAAAAGTGATCAGGCAACACGCGCGGAGCGAGATCTTACCTGAAGAGCGGCGGCCAGGGCCGCATTGGAGGCTTCCGAAGACGTGCGGGGAGGCATCTCCACGCCGGCCAGAGAGGCAACCTCCTGCCAAACGTCATGCGCCGGACGTCCGAGAGAGGGGAGGATCACCCCTTGCCCTTCAAGGGCCGAAGAACCAGTTCCCCTGGGCCTTTTGGACTTTTTGTCCGCTTTCTCCCCCTCCTGGGGATGGACGGCCTGCAGGGGCGCCACAACCTCGGGGACGCCAGAATCAAGGACTGGGGCCTGGGACCCTTGTGCCAACACCGTGGCAATGAGGTGCTGCTCCGCCTCCACGGTGCGACGATCGGCCTGGGAGGCGGAAGAGTTGGAGTCAGCTGCCTGGACGGTTTTGGCCTTGGCAAGGGCAGCGTCGGCCGCGGCGCCCTTCCCCTTCCGATTCTTGAGGAGTTTTTCGTGATTCATCTGCTCCTGGGTTGGGGGAAGACCTGAAAAAGACAAAGGAAATGGGTTAGATGGACGAACGTCAGTAAAAAATCACCTCGGAGGAGAGGACCGCCCAATACCCCGAGACGAGCGTAGAAGGGGAGATGTCCAAGAGCATGGGCGGTACCTATTCCTGCCGCGGCGAGCGCCTCGAAGGTTAAGAAGTCGTCTAAGGGGCGGATGCCGCCCGTCGAGATCTTTTTGATGTCCTCCTGCAGATCGTTGGTCAGCTCCGGAGATCCAATCTTGGGCGGATAGCCATTCCAACGCAACGGCAGACGAGCATCCGCGTACCGCACGAAGAAAAACCGATTCTTCCAGTCGTGGATGGAGCTCGGTGCTCCGCTGAACAACCTCCGTTTCGGACGAGCAGCAATGCTCAGGAAGCCGTCAGAATTTTGGGGGGTGAGCCGGTAGAAATAATGGAACAAGTCCAGAGTGGCGGTGACCCCGTGGTCCTTGCAACGGACTAGGAAGGCGGAGAGCCACCGATAGGAATTCGGCATGAGTTGAGCGGGGGCTATCTGGTAACAACAGAAGAATTCCACGAAGAACGGATGAAGAGGGAAGCGCAGCCCAGCCTCGATGGAATCCAGAAGCACCATAATCATCCCTGGGCGTCTCCTCATCACGTGGGTTGCACCACGTAGGCTGTATACGGACGGAGGGGGGAAGAACACCTTCAGTTTGTTGAGGGCCACCGGCGAGAAGATCTGCTCATGGCACAAGACATTCTTGATCGGGCACAGATGCCTCTCCACATCTATCTTCAGCCCAAGTTCGAATACTTCGATGTCGGAGCCATCCTGAGCCTCAACCCCAGAGTCATACCCGTCTGGACGCTCGTCCTCACCAGCGGGCTCCTGTTCCCCGGCTTCAGCCACAGGATCCACAACATCGAGGGCCATATTCCCTTGCCCCCCCAAGTCGGCACCTTCTTCACCAGGAACCACCACAGCAACCACATCTTGGGCATCCCCGGCCTGGACCGTTCCCACGGTAGAGGCTGAACCGGAACTCCCGGAAGTGCTAGTCTCACCCGAAGAGCGTGAACCGGAGTCAGAGGAGGAGCCCGAAGAAGAACCCGATGAACCCGAAGAAGAACCCGATGAACCCGAACCAGAACTCGATGAGATCTCCATCGAAACCATCTCGGCAAGAATTCAAGACAAAGGAAAGAAGCAGGGGGTGGAAATTACCTTAGCAAGGAGTTAGCCGAGCTTGGATTCAGGAAACTTGAAGAGCTGCAGAAAATCGAGAGCAAGAAAGCAGAAATTGGGAACCCTAATTCAGAGGGAAAACCCAGCATTTATAGGAGAAACACCGATGAAGAAACGAATGAGGGGCTGACACGTGGCAAGGAGCGTATTCCGGCCCACGCGCTGTGCGTGGGATGGAAACGTAATGATGACACTTCCTCGGGAAAATGCGCCGCCGCAACATCAGCCGTCACCTCGTTTCCTGGACCGTCAACGGCTGTCAAGCACCATGACCACGAACGCACGCTTCCACCAGGTGCAATAAACACAAGTACCAAGATACGGACGTCCACTTCGGGGAGGTTCATACTTCCTTATGTCCTGCGCATGCTCAGAACATCAGAAGTGGGGGACTTGTGTTGGGTTAAGGGCCCAAGCCGAGGTCCGGCCCACTAACCCATTTTGCTAGACGAACATCCAGTTAGAACACTAGGCCAACCCACGGGCCCATGTTCCCTGAGGATGGACGAACGTCTGGTGTTGGGGGACTCAGGCCCAGCAGCTCATCCCGACGAACGTATATGCAGGGACAAGGAGCAGAACCACGGGCCACCAGGGATGGCGACGAACGTCCCCACTACAAGCCTGTAGTCATCGGGGAAACCCAGTCCGCATGACGAATACCATCCAAGGCCAGGAGACGAACAGCCGATATCTCTCAAGGGTACACTTGGAGCAATCCAACTCACTTCCCGGGTTGATGAACGTCCCCACTAATCCGGCGGGAAACCTAGATTCTGGCGGGAAGTGCATTTAATGCTAAAGATTTGGTAGTTGGGACACCAGCGGTCCACAGGCTGCCACGTCACTACAGCCACCTGCCCATTGGCGGGTATAAATAGAAGCATTTATTTCATTGTAAGGGGTTGGCAACTTTCTATTCTTAGCACTAGCTATAGCATCCTTACTCGCAGCACTTCTACTGCCTTGTAAGACGAACGGCCGACGGAGCCCTTAGCAAGAAGTATTGTATTAGGGAGTTATTAAGAGATAATAATACCGAACCATTTACTTGCTACTTCTTGTTCTCTATAGTTCATATCATCTGCTTGTTGGGTTAGATATCATACACTCACTCCACTCGAAATCTTTGGGCTTACGTGTTGGGTCCAAGGGTTGAAGGAATAAACCTCAACACCAAGTTTTTGAGCCTTCTAAGTAGAGCAATCACTCTAAGCATTCAAGAGATATCTAGCAAAAGAGAAAGTGTCCGTCTAACTTTTCTCTCTGCTTGGACTCATGCTTCACTAAACTTTCTAGCTACACATACTCATTGAAAAATCCGAGAAGTTTAGTTTCTAGTTGGATGTTAGAACTTTCGTGTAATATTTCAAGAATTGTTGTAAACACTTAGGAGAACAGTTGTTCGGATCCTATAGTGTGGTTAGATGGATAGAGTACCTTTTGATCCCCACTGGGTCATTAGAGAAAAGTCTAAGGACTGAGTAACTTTGAGTGGTGTTATACTCACTGTGAAAAACCTTCAATCTAGGCCCAAGTGTTGTAAAGGCTAGATTGACACTAAGTGTATTGGGCTTAATACTTTAGTGGAAATCCATCTGAAAGAGGGTGTGACTGGACGTAGCAGGATTACACCATCTCTGAACCAGGATACACTGTGTGTTGATTCACTTTCATTCAACAAAGCACACACTTAGCACCTCTCACAAAAAGATCGAAGTTTGCCAGCAGAATCCTAAGCAGTTGTCTTAAACGACCCAACTGCTTATCCTACTGCTTAATAACTTACCTTCTTTGAGACTATCTTCACTCAAAAGACTATCTTCACTTTCTAAGTATAGCAGGTGCCTCAGCAGTGCCCTGGGGACCACCCAACTGCTGAGCCCTCTGCTCACACATTTTCTTTGAAGATTTCAAACATCAAAACTTACAATATCATCAACAAGAAGTTTTGCTCAAACGGATCTCTGAAAAACTGCTTATAACCTAAGCTGGTGGCTCAGCAGTTCCCTCAGTACCACCCAACCGCTGAGACCTCTGCTCCAACAAAATTTGACCTTACACTTACTAAAGCATTTTCTCAGACAGCCCTCCTCATTCTAAACAAGATTCTATCATCAACTTCGTCATAAAGTCCATATCTATCTAGCAGTTGCCTCAGCAGTTCCCTGCTACCTAGCCCACTGCTAAGCCAACTGCCAAGCCAACTGCTAGCTATTTAAGTCCAAACTTCTCCAAGTCAGAAAGTGATTAAACACTCAGGGTAAAGACTTCCGCTGTGCATCTATTAATCTCTCAAAAGATTACAGATTAACTCTTCTAGAGGGAAAACTTTGTAAAATCAAAATGGATTTAAAATTCTATTCACCCCCTCTAGACTTTTACCCTATCCGGGACCATCATGACACGCCGTCAGTGTGCTCACATCCAACTTCATTCCAATTATCTGTGACCAATATTTTGTATACAAGTTGTGTACCCCTAACATTTATGTTGTATTAGGGGGTGTTTGGAACTGATTCTGCTTCTGCTTCTTTTTTAAAGCAGAAGCAGAATCAGAATCAGTTTTCAGAAGCTGGTACCCCCTAGCTTCTAAAAAAACTGATTCTGAGAGTAAATTAGAGCACCAGAAGTGCTTCTGGAATTTCATCCAAACACTCCAGCTTCTGCTTCTGCTCTCTGAAGGAGTAGAATCAGTTTTGAGAATCAGATCCAAACACCCCCTTAGGATGTTTTCTTTTGAACTGAAATTTGCTGTTTTGGTCTGGTCTGATCCGGTCTAGTTTGATGTGGTCTGAACACGTCTGGTACATGTATGGTCTCTTTACATGTCTGATTGCATCCCTGGTACTCCGCTTCTAGTTCGAGCCCCAACTTTTCTCTAGTCCAGCGCGGTTTCTCGCTCTCAAAGAAATTGCACAGGGATGACGGAAAGCTCGGCGCTTGAAGCCGAAGCGCCCTCTATTACAGCTCTCGGATCTTTGTTTAAGCTCACTGAAGTTTATCTCTCGTACGTTTAATCTACAATTTCTCCATATGAACTGGCACTTTTATTTTAAAATGGTTTATCCCAAGCCCCCAGAATTATTAGAGCTAAATAAATATCTTCACTTGCAGGGATAATACTGTGGATGATGTTCGCTTATGCTCACCTTCTACGGAAGCTTCGGTAAGCTATATTACGATTTTAGGTTTATGTTTCTCTACTTATTTCGATGGGGGTTAGAGCTGATTGCTGCAAGGACGGATTCAAAGTACGAAATTGAGATTTATGTCTAAAAGAACCCATTATGATAAGTGAATTAAATTTTCTTGTTTTTCGTTTTCACCTAAATCAAAATGAAACCTATACATTAATTCTTGTAGTTCAAGCACAGCTTCTGGGATGTCTACTGAAGTGTTAATTAGGCATCCATCGTCTCTCTCATAGCCAAAAGAATGAACCTTTTTGTTCTCTATCCAGACAGATTAAGTTTCACAATTATATTCGAGCTTCTTTGGATCAAGACTATCAAGTAATATCTTGAATCCTTGGTTGAGTTCCTTTTGATTTTACTTATCATATTCAAAATCCCTGAACTATTAAATGTTGATCCATCTATAATTCGATAATGTATACATTTATCATTCAATAAATAACAATGCTCAGCGAATAAAATCTCCGGGCTGAGGTTAAGCATTTACAGAGGTTTAATTGTATCTTTAGTGTTACTTAGGTGATATTTACATTTGTTTGTGCTAGTGAAAAGTGATTGCTTTTAGAGGTTATAGTGAAAGTTGGTAGTGTTGGATAGAAAAGTATTTATTGGTGTATTATTTTGGTAACATATGTAGAAAAAGCGAAAAACAGTTTACAGTTTTAAACACCTCCCTTTTTACAAATTTTAACCATAACATGCTTACAGACGTACAGTTAAACAGAACCAGCTATTTGAAAGCAAAATTCTAGCTTTATTATAAGAAAAAGGGAAAAATAATTAAAATACCCAAAACTTTGAAGGGGTGTGAGATAAACACCCCAAACTTTCATATGTAATTTAAATACCCCAAACTTTATATAAAAAGTCATTTTAACACCTTGGTCATGTATTATTTATTTCAAAAACGTAAATTTATGGTGTTAATTGCATAATTTAAAACAGCACATTGAAAACGTTGCAATTATATAGAATGAGGGGTAATACTACTATTTTACTTTGGAGCCTAATGCTCACTATTTTTTTGCTTGGAAATATGATGGAATAAAACAAAATGGCTCACTATTTTTATGAAGCACCAGTCAGTCCATGCAATTTTCGTCGCGATTTTCATCATGGGTAATCCGGAAACAGTCTTTTAACTTACCATAGGTGAGGGCCTTTGCTGCACTGGGGGTAACATTGTTGTTGTTGTTCTTGAAGAAGTTGTAAGAACTGTAAGATATTGAATTTATTTTGTTTCAAAATAATTACAAAAACTGTCATGTAAGTTTGAAAATTTGAATATAATGTTTTTTATAATGAATGATGAAAGAGCATTTATATACTCAGGAAGGGGAGAGTTCGTATGTATGGTAAAACTAGTATTCTCACCCGTGCGATGCACGGCCGAAATAAAGAATCTTGTATTAATTAAATGAAAATATTGAAATCCAAAATTATACATCAAAACCTTTACAATGACCACTTTAGGGACAACAAACAAAATCATGTCATTAGCACATGTTGACCCATATTATCTTCACTGAAACTTTAAAGGAAGTCTCACTTAAGATGAAGTTAATTAGAACCTTGGAATTAGCACTTGTTGACCCATATACTTCTAAAATATGATCACCAAGCTTTCTTATGATAAGCCTTGTTCCATTGCACGAATCCATAGAATGATCTATGTTTAGATGAAGTGCACCGCAACATAGTACTCTGTAGTACACAACACAATATATTGGATCTCTTACATCCAAATATTATACATTTATAAAGTATAAGCATGATTTCAATATCAATACTTTAACAAAGTATTTATAATTTTTTTAGATTAAAAGTAAATCTAAATTTATATTACAAAAAACTTTTCGATGAATCACTATCATCATCTAAATCATGAGAGTTCAAATCCGGAGAAATGCTTAGAGAATATTAAGATGCCTCGTGCATGGTCTTATGGAAGTTATTTTCCCCTTCAAATTGAGCTCGACACTTCAAATCTAGATATTCAAATGCAGATTATCACTGATTAGTTGATGCTTAACATGTTCACGGACCAAAATTTTATATTGGATAGAGCCAGACCATTAGGAATGATGAAAGTACCTTTGGTAAAAACTTTTTTTAAAATCGAAAAAATGAAATAGTCAAGTTTTCTGACTTTGTCCTGAAAATCTCATTAGCCAAAATTAAAGGTATACTACGGGCCTAAAAAAATTAAAATTATTTAGGAATAGAATTTTTATTAATCTATCTAGTCTAGTAAAAGTACAATATTGGTCCGTTTGCTTTTAAACTAAAAAACTGCATAAAACGGTCATTGGCCTGTAACATTAAACTAACCCATACGCCATTCACATATACTACGTAAATTATATGTAGTGCTTAGGTTTGTGGAAACTTCCTAACCATTCGTCTTCAGATCATTATTTCTGGGAAAAAAATTAGTGTTTATTACTGGTGGAATACGAAAAGATTATACAGCACTGAGAATCGAAACCTAGAAATATGTTATACAACATTAACTATATATCCACGTGAGAAAAGCTTTTTCGAGAATATTCTGTGAGAAAACTATACGAAACCAAGAGGATTCACACTAAAGAAATGATTCATTGCTTTTTGGCGGGAACTTGCGTCCCAAGAAACCTTTTCTTATTATATTAAGATAGATTTGTTGTGACCACCACCCCTGAGCATCCCTTCAATCTGTTCCTGATTGCACGAAATGAAAGCAATTGGTGAATTTTAGCTGTCTATTTTAATTGACCCATTCCTTTTTTTTGCATAGAGAACCATCACTGAAGATGCTCCTGATTCAATTAATTCAGAGCTTCATTTCTTACCAGAAGAAGTGGTGCTTGCCAAGTTGATGAGTGGAATGGGACTCCCTATGTCATTTCGCACTAAGGAGGTATCATCTCATGCAATAGTTTTTTATATGCGTTCTTTCTTCAGACATTTAGGTTCACTGTGATGCTTGTTTCAGAATTTTCTCTATTTGGTTTTAATAAATCCTGCTAGGAATTGTGAACATGGGAAGTATGTGAGTGAATTTGAAGGTCAGGACATTGTTATGTTACTTGGTCTCTCGAAATAAAATATCCTTTGCACTGCAGTGGAGCAAAACTTTTCGTACAAGGAATTCCATAATAAATTATGGTGACTAATCTTGTGCAGGAAATTTGCTTGAAACATGATGAAAATCCTAAAAATACTCCCTTGTAATAGAAACCATATTAAGTTGGGCCAACTTTCACTGTTTTTTTCCTTCCACTGTGAGTAGTGCATGTAATGGACAGCAATAGGTTAGATGTTAAGGATATTTCTTGATCTATCTAGATTCGATTTTCAATTCATTTAACCTTGTGACTGTTTTTGTACCCACAGAGGAGGGGAATAGTTGGAGGAATGAGAAAAAACAAGCTTAAGGATGTACTCCACGAACGCAACCCAAATCAGGAAGATGTGCAAGGGCCTTTAGAAGAGGTGGGTGAGAATGCTTCTTCTGAAATTCCATGTCAAGCAAGTGAGTCATTGTCTTCCTTGTTAATAGGACGAAAGAGTGAATTGCCGAACTTTGATCCTGCAGTTGGTGTTGAAGAAGTTGGTCATCTCCCTGATGTAGCGAAAGATTCAATCAGCCCGATGTCATCTAGTGCTAGCTCTACAATTGATGACCCTATCACCACCGTTCCTGGAAGTGACCAAGAATTGAATTCTAAATATACGCATCATGAACTCTTATTAAAGGATGATAATGAAATTTTCTTAAGAGAAGATATTGGAGCTCTTGAAAATTCGATTTTAGATGGAATAGTTAGCACTACATATGATGGGAAGGACCCTAAAGGAGATCATATGGACGACTTTAAATGTTTGAAGCCCCCCTTTACAATTGACCATGATGCTAGAAGTGATTTTGGTCATTGGGAGGTTTATTGGGATGACTTCTACTCAAGAAACTACTTCCATAATTCTCTTACACAAGAATGTACATGGGACCCACCTCCAGGAATGGAAGAGCTAGTGTATATTAATATTAATATCAGTGATAAACCAACAGAAGCAAAGAAGGAGATAGCCGACATGGATGTCACTTTTACTGGTTTTGAAGAATCTGCTGATCAACCCATATTTTGTCATCCGCAACTTATGTGTGACTTATCAGAGGAATACATAGGTGATGATAAATTACTAGATCAACAGATTCATGCTTCAGTTGAAGATGAACTTGTTACTGAAACTATCTGTCATACCAGTCCCGAGAAAAAGAAAAGAAAATCTAGGAGAGCAAAATCCAAAAAGAAACTATCCATACAAAATGGAGGTATTTGTTCGGATCTCTTTTAATCATTCTGGCTACAAGCAGAATGCATTACATCTCATTAATCATTCTGTTTTTTTTCCCACAGAGTTCCATACCCCATTGATAAATGAAGGCCTAAATCGTGGTTTGAGTAAATACTGGTGTCAAAGGTACAGTTTATTTACAAAGTATGATGAAGGTATACAAATGGATGAAGAAGGATGGTTCTCTGTTACTCCAGAGTCCTTAGCAAAGCATCATGCTCAACGTTGTGCCGGTGGTACTGTAGTTGATTTATTCACTGGAGTTGGTGGAAACGCTATCCAGTTTGCACACCAGTGAGCAATTTCTGTTATTATCTTCCTATAGTTTAAAGACAATTTTTTTCAACAATCCACATTGATGCTATCATTCCAAATCTGGATGTGTGGAAAAGATAAAGACTCTCAGTGTCACACTGAAATTATATATTTGCTTCTAATGCTACGAGCTGCATTAATATTGTTTTTAGCACCTTATATTTTTACTCTAGCAATCTGAATTCTGAAGATAAATTGCACTAAATATTGGATCTCATTTTCTATTCTGGCTAAGTGTGTTTGTCTTGTTTTAGAAAATGTTGGAAAAAGTATTAGACGGCCCTCTGTATAGCAGATTAAGAGGCCCAGGCGAGTTAAATGACTAGGCACTACTTAATCTGGGCTAGACAGTGTTTTTAACAACAGTGGCTGCACTTTTTAAATTGATGAAATTGCTGATGCACTTTTTTTTATTGATGAAATTAAAATATTGTATTCGTTATTCATAATGCTATGTATTATGTATTTATGTCTCTCATTCTTGCCATTTTTTTGTTTTCTTTGAAAGTTTAAATTTACCCGTATGATGAAGTCCCTTCGACATCACATTGCTGTGAGTTAAAAGAGCACATCTGTGCTCTATCATCTTCATTACCTAATAGTACTGAACTACTGAATAGTTTAGTTTTTTAAATATTATTATTAAGTTTTTACTTAACAAGGACAAAGACTTGCACATGTTATTAGAAACTTTTACTCTACTATTTTCTTGCTGCATGAACCTCTAGATATGGTTACTATATTTTGCTATATGAAATTTTCTAATATTATTCCCTTTCATTCCTAATCCTCTTCAGGTGCAGACATGTAATTGCAATTGATATTGATCCAAAGAAAATTGACTATGCACAACATAATGCAGTCATATATGGAGTTAGAGACCAAATAGACTTCATTAGAGGAGATTCCTTGATATTGGCTCCAACATTGAAGGTATTTATTTTCTTTGTTCATTTCGGTAACAGATTTGATTAAATATATTCTGGATAACTACTTGCTTGACTACATTTTATTTGATTATTGTTTCTACATAGATTCAGAGTTTAAACATTGGGATTTTTATATTTGCTTCAGTGCTTCTGCCATACAGAATGTCATAGATAATTAGACACCATGGACAAGGGGAACAAAACCAGTGAGAAAATTAGGTAATTCTATTAGCAATTTAGCATGTATTTCGTTTTCATGATGGGCCATCCATCTTCAACACAATTTCCTGGATTACACTTGCCATTTTGATTGATATGTAATTTATTTATTTATTTCTTACCCTAATTATAGACTCCATTAAACTAACTAAAATAAACCCTCTTTTAGAGAAGAAAGGTAGTCTTACCTTCTAAGAAATTTGTCCACTGGGGGGAGACATCTTGTTAGAGAGTTCTTTTGGTGATCTTGGAGAGTTTCTCTGATGCTCTTTTTCTGTTTTTTATATTCGTTCTGTTTAATAGCTTTACTGCTCTTTTTCTGTCATGCACGTTTTTAAATATGGATGGATTTTTGTAATGTGTAGGTGGTAATGTGATATGCAATAATGCACTTTTTGGGACCATGTTTTCATTAGATGACCCTATATTCACAGCTGCGCCACTGTATTTTAGCATTGAAAAGGTCTCATCCTTCTATTTGTTGGTTTTGTTGCAGGTAGATGTAGTCTACATGTCACCACCATGGGGAGGACCTGATTATGCCAAGGTTAAGAAATTTGACATCAAAACAATGCTGAAGCCGCATGATGGGTTTGTTTTCTAGACTGGCTGTAAATGTCTTTTATGAAGTTTTGACACATTTGGTATCAATACTTTGTGGGTTGTATGACTTGTATCATATTGGCACTAATTATTTTATCTGTATCATATTGGTACCATTTTTTTGTGAAGTTTATCTACATTCAGACTATATAACACTATTGTATGCAGTAAAATATTTTCAAACTATATTGAAAATAAAAAAAATTATAGCTATATTTGTGTGCTCATATGGAAAGATATACGAAAGCTTTCATAATATCCAAATGCTTGAATTATGTTTTTGCAAACCACTACTCTTTGCATGGCAATGCTGTTAATGTATGAAAATATGGATATATATATTTCAATATTTATTGATATTTCAAACATTTTAAACACATAACTAAAACTCTAAGAATTACATAGTGTTAAATAATTTTTGAAATATCCATAAATATCAAGATATACCAAACAATATTTTCATAGAGTAATGGTACAAACATGCAAAGGGGTTAACAATATTTATTTAAAGTTATCCATGATAAACAATATTTTTCAGTAGCTACATTTGTGGTTAAAAAGTCAAGAATCAAGATATACTTGGGTGTTTCTAAAAAGCTCCATACTATTCATAAAACATATAGTTTTGGCACCAATACGATACATTTTACAAAAGAATTGATGCAAATTCGGTACAAGTTCAGGAGTTGGTACCTGTATGCTCATTCCTAAAAAATATTTGTATAAAGAAGATAACAAAACAGGAGTAAAAACGTTTCGAAATTCCAAAATAGAATTGTCATGTTTTTAATCTCTAAATAGGAGGTGTTACTTTCAAACTTGAAAAATACTGCCATATTTGAAGTCTGATAATGCCAAAACATGGTAATGATTACTTCTATCTAGGGATTATAAATATGACAGTCCTATTTTGGAATTCCCAAACGTTTTTACTCCTATTTAGGTCAATTTTCTAGTATGGAACTGATACCGATACCTCCAAAATACAGGTACGAAATAGGTTAAAATCTAGACTACCACTTTTGTTACCTTTATTTTTTCTACCATTTGAAACGGTTGCTCATCTATTTTTTGGGTATCTATCAGGTATTTTCTCTTCAATGCTGGCATGAGAATTGCATCTAAAGTTGTCATGTTCCTTCCCAGAAATGTGGATATCAATCAACTGGCTGAGATTGCTTTATTAGCCAATTCATCATGGTCGCTAGAGGTATTTTTTATCAATTTAGTGAGGGATGTCTGTAACCATTTTTTCATTTGTCATTCATGGTCTTTTCTATCTAGTGACTAGGCTTAGCCCGGGTCCGGTCCGACTGGCCCGGGAACCGGACCGGCCCGCCACTGTGCAGGCCCGGCCCGGCAAACCGGTACCAGGCCTAGGCCCGACCAGAGGGGTTTATGGGGGCGGGTCCGGGACTTGTTTTTTGGGGACCGGCCCGGCTGGTTCGGGCCCGGTCCGGGCTTTTTAATTTGTTTTTTTGGGTTTGGGCTGGGTTTAGGTGGGCTAGGCTGGGCTGGGTGTTTTCGAGGGGTTTGGGGGGTGGGGGTTGGAATAAATAAGATAAACAAAAAAAAAATTAAAGAACTGGCCCGGGGCCAGGCTTCACCCCAAAAATCCAAAGCCCGGCCGGGCCCGACCCGGAACCGGAACGGGCCCGGTCCATGCCTACTAGTGACGCTTAGAAATCGGGTGGGGAATAGGGAGGAGACTGGCAAGTCTCTGATATATGGGGGAGTAGGGGACTCACAAAGTGGTAGTTCCTATTAGGGCTGGGCACGGGCCGAGTCGGGGCGGGTAATGCAAAATAAAATGGAACCGCCGGTTCCATTGTACAGTCCGGTCCGGGTATTCAATTTTCAAAATAGGAACCAAACCTTACCCGACCCGTTTGAAACGGGTCGGTCCGGTCCGAGTTTTACGGTTTCTATAAAAGAAGTTCCAAAAATCAATAATTAATAATATAGTACATTAGCAAGTTTCAAAATTACAACATAGTGGTGCACATGTAACACAAGTGACAAGTCCAATACTCCATAATTTCATGTATATAAGTTCCAAACAAGTAAAGAAGTTCCAAAAATCAACAACATATCCAAAATACATATTTTCTAACATTTGAATTTAAACATGTTGTCTAACATCACATATAAAGGTGATTGTTTTGTTTATTATTAAATTTTCAGTATTAGCCAAAGTTGACGCATACATGGGGGGTGGTAAGCAGTGGAGGATCTAGTGTTTACAATTTGGGTGTTCAAAATTACACATTTTCTCTTTAAAATACTAATAAATAAATTTTTACTCTGATTTGTATATATATATATATATATATATATATATATATATTCCCATTGGTTTTTTACTTTTGGGTGTTCACATGAACACCCTTGCATAGAAGAGATCCGCCCCTGGTGGTAAGCACAATTTATATATTTTAAGAACAATATTATAAAAACAAATATTACAAAACCGTTTTTAACAAATAATTAAATTCCATAGAAAGGAATAATTCAATAACAATAAAAAGTAATAAGAAATTTATGTAAAATTTAATCAATAATTTGAAAACAAAAGGATGTTACTGCAACTTAATTGAAAATCCTATTTCTAGCAAAGGAAAACAAAACTATTTCAAAACCGATTATCACAAAAGTATTAATAAATTAAAATACAATATATATATATATATATATATATATATATATACAGAAAAGATCAGGTCCCTCCGGAGGGACGGGAGGGACCGTCCGAACTTTACTGTTTGGGGCGGTTCCCGGTGGAATTTTTCGATGAAATTTTTTGAGCATGTTCCTCATCAAGTCTAGTTTATCCATACCAAATTTCAGCTCAAAATTCGACCGGGAAGGCAGTCAAATAAATTCTTGAAGCTTACTGCACATTCTGCGCATATATAAAGTGCAGTAAGTTTCAAGAATTTATTTGACTGCCTTCCCGGTCGAATTTTGAGCTGAAATTTGGTATGGATAAACTAGACTTGATGAGGAACATGCTCAAAAAATTTCATCGAAAAATTCCACCGGGAACCGCCCCAAACAGTAAAGTTCGGACGGCTGCTCCCGTCCCTCCGGCTGGACCTGAGCAGTCCTCTATATATATATATATATATATATATATATATATATATATATATAGCGGGCCGGGCCGAGTATCCGGTATTTTTTTATTTTGGAACCGGCCCGGATCTTTAAAAAGAATTACCCGGCCTTACCCGGACCGTTTTATGGCAACAAAATGGAACCGGCCCATTTTGGACCCAAACCGCCATTACCCGGACCGGACCGCGGTTCCAAGACCCGTTTGCCCAGCCCTAGTTCCTATGTCAACCCAGTGGTTGAGACTTGCAAAAAGTACTCTGAGTACTTACCTTTATCAAAATAAAGAGAAACCACTTTTACTCTCATCTTTTAGTACTCCGTATTATTTTCCTTAACTTATTAAAACATATACTCCCTTCGTCCCAATATAAAGAACACATTTGCTTTTTCAAACATTTTTAGGAGGAACACTGTTTGGACACTGTTTGACACTGTTTTGCCAAAAAGGGAAATGTGTCTTTTATATTGGGACGGCCCGAAAAGGAAAATGTGCCTTTTATATTGGGACGGAGAGAGTATTTCATTTTTTAAATGTTTTGTTAGTAGATAATTTAGTCTATTGCCCAATGCCCAGTGATCTATATTCTCAGGGAATATTTCACAATGATCAATTTCATTTACTTCAGTCAAATTTTACTTTGTTTCCACTTGCCTAGTTGCCTGTAGCATTGTTATAATTAGCTTGGTAACTGGATGATTAAGTTCTTTGTTCTATGCTTTGGTCCTCCCTACCTTGGGCTGTGCGGTCTTAGGTGGAGAAGAATTTCTTAAATGGAAAATTGAAGGGAATCACCGCATACTTCATCAAGTCTTCCTCATAGCAGTCATGCAAGTCTACTGCGAGCCTACTGTGGTCTGTGGACAACATTGGCACTTTCGAATTAGAGATGGAAAAGCTCGCTCTTTATGATTGTTGTCATTTTACCACCTCATCCCAAATTCTCAATTAGTTTGATTTAGAAGCCAGCCAGTTCATCTTTTCTTAATTTCGCCTTTCCACCACCACCATCATCATCATCTGTGGTGCCTTTTTGGGGAGTATGATCTCCCGGGAGTACAAGCCTACAAGGTTTGAGTTTTTTTTAGGGCTGTAAATATGTATTAACCTAAGGTTGCACACTTTTGTAATTACATGCCATTAAATATTAGCATTAAACGGTCAATGGTACTCGCAACAGTTCATGGATCACATGCTACTTGTCATCCCTTGTGGTAATTACATGTAATTTGAGAGCAAGGTGTATAATATTTGTGGGTTTAACTTTCCTTATCTGGTATCTTAGTTTCACAGTTTTCCATTTTTATGTTTTTTTTAGTTTTTCTGATTCATTGGAGATTTGGGGGCAGGCCGTAGTCAAGGTATACACTGGACTGACTATATACTGGATTGAATTGGTATAAACAATTTCTTTAGATAAGTTTCTGTATGATTTTTTTTACATTAATACATAAACATATTTTGAAATGTAGGATGAATCTGGCCTACCATGCCCCAGGCCCCCAGACCTCCGCTACTATGGTAAAGGCCGTTGTCAGTGTTGGCGTAATAAATAAACGCCAGTGGTCATTAGGGGTGCAAACGAGCCGAGCCGAGCCCAAGCATGGGTATGCTTGAGCTTAATAAGAATTCTCGAGCTCGATCTCGAGCTTGGACGAGTTAAAAATTCTGAGTTCGATCTCGAGCCAAGCTTGGCTCGAGCTCCATTCGAGCTTGATTCGAGCTCGGGTCAAGTTTCGCTAATTAATTTTTATAGGTTTGAACTCGAACGAGATGCTCGAGCTAAAAAATACTATATGTGTACTTATTCATTCTAATTCTTAGTTTATTTCTCATTTACTATTATTTTTATTCTTTATTTTACTGTCAATAAATATTAAGAGTACATATTATAATTATTACAGATTATGGTTATAATAATAATACTACGCACTTGTTATTATTTTTGTAATTATTACTATTATAGTATACTCTGTGATAAGTACTGAAAATCGAATAGTCCCAAAGTAGAATATTTATTTAAAAAAAGTATATATATATAATTATTACATATACTTTTATTATATAGAAAATATGACGCAAAGGCTCGCGAACCGGCTCGCGAGCCACGAGCCTAAAATAAATAGGCTTGAATGGAGCTTGTTAACTATTTGAGTCGAGCCGAACTCGAGTTGAGCTTAATATGACCGAACTCGAGTCGAGCTTTTTCCGAGCGATCCACGAGCAGCTCGCGAGCGGCTTGGCTCATTTACACTCCTAATGGTCATGGGATGCGGGGGTGACAACTCCAAGGTTGTATCCTCAACCCCAAGGGCACCCTCCCGCCTTGACTCGACAAGGCACATATGAGGTTGTTATTCACAGTAATTTAGTCAGTTCAATAGTAGTAGATCTTGTACTCGTACACACTAGCAATCGGAAGGTCAATACACATAACTGTAACTTCCACACAATTGGTGCAGGTTTCAATCCTTGGTAGCACCTTACAAAAAAAGAGGATTTTTATGTGATATTACAAAATTGTATCCATTGAAAAAATGTGACTACTACAGTACTACTACATATTTCTTTCTTTAAAAATGTAACATTATGTGCTAAATTTCATTGTCACCTTCCTTACTTGCACAGTGCAAGTTGCACCAAAGGTATCGATCCACACTTTGTTGATGGATATGACAGTAATATATAAGTTTACAAAATTTTGAATGACAAGATTGGTCAAATGTTTATTTTGTACTTGGTATATCTCAATGTTGTCAAACTAGATTATATCGGTAGTTCACTAGTGAGAAATCTTCAGGTCCGGAATTCATGATCATAATCGCCATCCGGACAACGGTGTTTGGACCACTTCTTGGTGAAATTTTTGGATGATTTTTTTTGGGAATGTTCTTCATCAAATCTAGTTTATAAAAAAATTAGCTAAAAATTCAATCGGAAAGACTATCAAATACGTAGTAGTTTTTAAAAGATAACTATGTTTTATATGTTTATTTTGACGCAATTATCTTCCAAAAATTATTTGACTGCTTATTGTATTGAATTTTTAACTGAATTTTGTGTGTGGATAACCTAGATTTGATGAAGGACATGTCCAAAAATTTTCATAAAAAAATTCCACCGGGAAGGGACCCAAATGCTTCCGTCCGATTCCGGTCAGATCTTATAGACCGAAAGAGTACTCGTTCACAGGTTACCATGATCCTAAGTCATTCATACTTTAAAGAGTTTTTGCCACTTTTAGTCCTCCGACTATTATGTCATTGACACTTTTAGTACTCGGCTTTGATTTTTTCCGTTTTTAGTCCTCGACTATTGTGTTGGAGACACTTTTAGTACCCGTCTTTGAAATTTTCCATATTTAGTCCTTCATCTTTCATAAAAGTGACACTTTTGGTCCTTCAACTATTATAATAGTGACATTTTTAGTCCTCCACTTATTGTGCCAAAATCATAGTGGGAGGACTAAAAGTGTCAATTTGATAATTGTCACGCCCCGGACCTACCCGGACACGTCAACAACCCGCCGTACAATACGAATAGTCAACCGCAGTCCAACACATTCATATTATACAAGGCGTCTTGAATATCATTCACACATATAAGATCCATAAACAATCATAATAAGTAATTCATAGTGTAGTGGAAACCTTGTTTAAAATAAAATGGCCACACAGGGCTAATCATGAGCACGCAGGCCCTAAAGTAAAATATCCATGAGCAGTTTATTAATGTTTCAAATGGAATGGAGGAAGCACGAACCAAGTCTTCTCTCCGAGGAATCACTCAATCAACGAGCACAGGATGCAAGCTCTAGCCTCAACCTGAAATGGTGGTGGGACGCCCCCGAAGGGGTCAGTACTCTATACGGCTATAAAGTACTGGTGTGGCAGGCATCTAATAGATATACAACAAGTATTTCAAACACAAGACCCTCAAATAGGGTGATAGTACATTATGATTGTAACCCTAAGTTACCCTGTTTGAAAATATACTTACTTTATATAAAAGTCAAGTAGTCGGCACGTGGGCCCATGTTCATTTAGAGATCACCATTCCCATTCCCCGTGACTATAAGCCACGACAACTCATAGAGTCCAACCCTAACACATGACATTGTATTCTAGAGCTCGGCTCTACCACATCACCATACAATTCATGTCACTGGGGTCAATTTCCTTACCTTGCGTTCTAGAGCTCGGCTCTATCACATCACCACGCAAGCCCTAGAGCTCGGCTCTAGTTATATCATACATAGACTACAAGTCTACCACCTTACCATGCATTCTAGAGCTCGGCTCTATCACATCACCATGCACCAAGGTCCAATTCTTAAGCAACCCTATGCCTAGAATTGACATATCAATAAACTACCATGGGACATCCTTAAAGACTTCCCATAACTTAACCTTAGTTTCATACTAAGTCATTATATACAATCCAATCCCTAGGATCAATTTCAACAACAATTTCCAATAATCACTAACTAGTATTTCAATACTATTAAGATTATTGTTATCATACAAGTATTCTCATTTTGTAATTTCCTACATATGTATAATTGTATATTATGTGGCAGAAACTTAAATATTCAATCCCAATACATAAATATTCATTTATGTATCCACATAATTTATACATGAGTAAAATCCCTATTTCACGAAATAGTTCATTTATAACTCATTTAATCTCATATTATTCATACATCCTCAAATCATTTCCAATTTCATTCTTTGGGAACTATATCAATATTTCATCAATATTTAATCATCATAATCCATGAAAAATTATTATTTAGGCATTTAGGTAATCTCATGCTTAACCTACAATTTGTAAGCAATTAGATGTCAATCCTCACCTCAAATGAGCTTTAAAACCTTCCTTCTCGCTCCAACGACCAAAGCCTCAGCCAAGAAGGTTTGAGAACTGATTCCTTGCTTGGAATTGAGTGTTAAACAGCCTCCTCAAAGTGCTAGTTCAACCCCTAATCGTTGATACGAAAACAGCCCCTAGAATGGGTGTTTTCCGGCTAACTCGTTTCTTTAGGAGAGTAAATCCGTTCCTGCGAGGTTGTGTTTTGCTCGGACGATTTGGAAGCCTTCCACTACTCCGATTAATGCAAACCAGACTTTCACGGATTCCTCGTCTTGAGAGATTTCTTTTGGTATCTTGTACGCCTTATTTGTATTGGTATAACTCAAGATATCAACCAAACAGCCTCAACACTCTCACTGCTCGAGTTTACAGACAGCAGTTCACTCCAGCTCGATTTTTGTATGATAAACTCTCCCCTCTCGCACAGAGACCACTCAAATGTGAAACTAGACTTCAAAGGATATCCAAGGACACCTCATTCACGTTATTTGGTCGAGTATAACTTCACTTATGGAGGGAGACAACCAGCACCATCTTTTTGTGCGAAAATAGACTAGGTGAGGTTCCCTCTTGCTTCCTTTGTCAAGTCCAGGGCCTAGAGTCAGCTGTGGCCGCCCCCTAACATTATTTTTCTTGTCTTGCATGTGGAAGGAAGAGATGGGGTGCAACATGTTGTTCCCCAATTATTTTGGGAGCAAAATATTAATCAATACATCCAAAAATGGAAGAATGGGTCCTATTGTTTAATCTTTTATCAAAAAATGTCTTTTTGTACTCATTGTAATTTATATAGACCAAGTCAACTCCCTACATCATTTTATTGATCTCAAATATGTGTAGCATCATCCCAATAATTTACATGATGAATATTATAGAAGGAAAAGTCCTACTCCCATTATTTAGCTCAATAATGTCAAAGATGGGATCATAGGCATTTGTATCCTTCTATAATCATTCTATAACTTATTTTGACATTGGTCATTCATATTATTGGACTACTAGCCGTGTGGGTCACCCCCGAGTGGGCCTACGACGCCATTCTTGAATACTTGCTAGTTTTAGCAGATTGGGCCCAAAATAATGTTTGGACCGCCCTACCTTCCTCAACTTGTCTTGAAAGGTTATGTAACATTATTTAGGTAATGTTGGGCTCTTACATTCATTAATAAGGCCCGAATAAGCATTTGCAAAAACCGACACTAATATACGAGTTTGAACAGTACAATATTCAATCATGCACTACGTAAAACATTAATCATTTTACAATTGTTTGGAAATCGGAAATTCAATACATAACTTGAAATTTAAATTGAATTTTCAAGAACGTTCGGGTGCGGTGTCACAAGTTCACCCCCCCTTAACAGGAATTTCGTCCCCGAAATTCACAGCTCTACTCGAATAGGAAAGCATACTGCTTCCTCATCAAAGCCTCTGTTTCCCATGTCTCTTCTTCGATCCGACCGCTCTTCCAAAGGACTTTAACCATTGGGACTTTTTTACTCCTCAGTTTCTTCACCTTTCTATCGGTGACCTTAATTGGTTGCACAGCGTAGTTCAAATCCTCACGTACTTCTACATGTGGCTTTTCCAATACGTGATAGGGATCATGCACATATTTCTTAAGCATGGATACATGAAACACATTATGTATCTTCTCTAACTCATGAGTCAACTGTAGACGATATGCTACGGCCCCAATCCTCTCTATAATTCTGAATGGACCTATGTATCGTGGGTTAAGCTTTCCTCGGGTTTGGAATCGAATGATTCCTTTCCAAGGAGAAACTTTCTAGAATACCTCGTCATCAACCTTAAACTCTAAGGTTCTTCGACGCTTATCTGCATAACTCTTTTGTCTATCCTGAGCCGCTTTGAGTCTCTCTCGAATCAACTTCACCTTTGACTTGGTGATCTCAACCAACTCAGTACCCTCGAGTTTGGCCATGCCAACCTCGTCCCAGCATAACGGTGTACGACACCTCCTCCCATACAATGCCTCGTATGGAGGCATGTCGATGCTTGCATGATAACTGTTGTTATAGGCAAACTCCACAAGTGCTAAGTGGTTGTCCCAACTTCCTTGGAACTCCAATGCACAAGCCCTCAGCATGTCTTTTAAGATCTGTATGACTCTTTCAGACTGCCCATCCGTCTGTGGGTGGAAAGCAGTACTGAACTTCAACCTCGTTCCCATAGACTCCTGAAATTTCGGCCAAAAACGTGATGTGAATCGTGGGTCTCTCTCGGATACAATGGTCATTGGAACCCCATGTAGTCTCACGATCTCATCCGTATACAATTTGGCTAACCTCTCAAGTGGGTGAGTTGTGTTGATAGGTAAGAAGTGTGCACTCTTCGTGAGCCTATCTACAACAACCCAAACTGCATCATAGTTCCTGATTGTCCGTGGTAAACCTACCACGAAATCCATAGTCACGTGTTCCCACTTCCATTCAGGAATGGAAAGTGGTTGCAATAAGCCTGCTGGATGCTGATGTTCCGCCTTAACTTGTTGACAAGTAAGGCATCGACTGATGTATTCGGCTATTTCCCTCTTCATTCCAGACCACCAGTAACTTCCTTTCAAATCACGGTACATTTTCGTGCCCCCCGGGGGCATGGCATAAGCCGATGAATGAGCCTCCTCTAAGATGGAGTTTCGGAGCTCGTCATCTGACGGTACACACACTCGGTCACGGAATAACAAGAGTCCATCATCTCTTTCCCTGAAATCCTCCACCGGTCCCGCTTGCATGCGTTCCCGGACCTTCATAAGTTCTGCGTCAGTCTCTTGACCCTTCTTGATCTCATCAAGTAAAGTCGGTCTCACCTCAAATCAGTGCCCTCAAACTAGTCAACAATGCCCCAGACGAACTCTTTCGACTGAGGGCATCTGCTACGACGTTTGCCTTACCTGGATGGTACTCAATAATTAGATGGTAGTCCTTTATCAACTCCATCCACCGTCTCTGTCTCATGTTTAACTCTTTCTGAGTAAACACGTACTTCAAGCTCTTATGATCAGTATATATGTGACATGTCTCTCCGTAGAGATAATGTCTCCAAATCTTCAGTGCAAACACCACTGCTCCCAGCTCTAGATCAAGGGTAGGGTAATTTACCTCATGCTTCTTCAACTGTCGTGAAGCATAGCCAATTACCCTGTTTGGGTAATGCAAGTACTGGTGCCTCGGTCAATCTCTTCTTTAGTTCACTGAACCCTTTCTCACATTTGTCATCCCATACAAACTTAGCTCCTTTACGAGTGAGTTTTGTCAGTGGTGATGCCAAAACGGAGAACTTCTCCACGAACTTTCTGTAGTAGCCTGCCAACCCAAGGAAACTACGAATTTCATTGACGTTCTTTGGCCTCTCCCATTCGGTAATGGCTTCTATCTTCTTGCCATCAACAGCAATTCCCGATCCCGAAACTACATGCCCAAGAAAGCCGATTTCCTTTAGCCAAAATTCACATTTAGAAAATTTGGCATAGAGTTGCTTCTCCCGTAGTGTCTCAAGGACAAGTATCAAGTGCTCCTCATGTTCTTCTTCACTCTTTGAGTAAATCAAGATGTCATCTATGAACACAATCACGAATCGGTCCAAGTATTTATGAAATACTCAGTTCATCAAGTCCATGAATGCCGTTGGGGCGTTTGTTAACCCAAACGACATAACAAGGAATTCAAAATGCCCATACCTTGTGAGAAAAGCACTTTTTGGTATGTCATCTTCCTTAATCTTCAATTGATGGTAACCCGACCTCAAGTCAATCTTTGAAAACACGGTTGCTCCTCGTAGTTGATCAAACAAGTCATCAATCCTAGGCAAAGGATACGTATTCTTGATTGTGACCTTGTTCAGTTGACGATAGTCAATACACATTCGAAGTGTCCCATCTTTCTTTTTCACAAAAAGAACTGGTGCTCCCCACGGGGAGTGGCTTGGTCTAATGAAACCATTATCCAAAAGCTCTTGCAATTGGGTTTTCAACTCGTTAAGTTCAGCGGGTGCCATACGGTATGGCGGTATGAAGATTGGTTTGGTACCAGGCTCGACCTCGATCACAAATTCAATCTCCCTATCAGGTGGAAGCCCCGGTAGGTCTTTAGGGAAGACATCTGAGTACTTACAAACCACCCTCACATCGTCGATGTTCGTTTCCTCCTTGGTTTTGTCAACCACGTATGCTAGATATGTGTGGCATCCCTTTCTCATCATACTTCTCGCTCTCACGGCGGATATGATACAGCTGTTTGATTTGCCTCGATCCCCCTCGAAGCGTAGGGTGTCCCCATCATTGCCTTCGAGTTCCAAAACCTTTGTGTAGCAATCTACCCTAGCATGATGCTTTTCTAGCCAATCCATCCCTAGGATTGCATCGAACTCCATCATACTCAGTGGTACGTAATCACACGTCAAGGTTTGGCCATCGATTTCCACCTCACAAGATGGATAGTAACTAGTTCTTTCAATGTCATCCCCTAGTGGTGTTGATACCACTAAAGTTTGCGTCATTGGGATTGATTGTATCCCTAAATCCTCGACGAACGCCTCACTCACGAATAAACGTTGCGCTCCGGTATCGATAAGGATTCATGCATCCTTCCCATTAATCTTTAATGTTCCTACATTTATAAGCCATGTAAGACACCATTCCTAACATGTCTAAACTTTATTTAGGGTTAGGGTCCATTTACCATTCAATCGGGGTGGGTCCCGCTTTGATACAAAAAGATTTCGGCCGAGAACGACTTCGGACCGGCGCCGGTTGCCCGGGTTAAACGTCCCACTGCACCGGTCACAGAGGGCCGGTTGAACACAGGCCACTTTCAACGAAGGTCCGGCGCCGGTGCTCAGTTCCCGGCGCCGGTTGGACGCAAACATGCCAGACGCGCCGGTTGGAGAGGGCCGGTCGAAAACAGGCTCGCCCAAGGCAGGTCCGGCGCCGGTTGGTGGGTGTCCGGCGCCGGTTGGGTGGGTTTCGCAGGCCAGCAGCGCCGGTTATGGAGGGCCGGTTCGACACAGGCTCATCCCATATACAATTTGGTTTGAGTTTGGTAGTATTTCTTCAAAATCGTATTAAACCGAACGGAACTAAAGAAATTCTAAAAAACCTTCATATTTTATAAAAAAATAACAAATCCAAACCGAACTAAACCGAACTAAGCCGAACCAAACCAAACCGAAAAATAATATGATTTTTGTTTGGTAATAATTCTCCCAACCCGTTCCAAACCGAACCGAAACCGATAAAAACCGAACCGGAAACCGATGTGCCCAGCCCTAGATGAGTGTTTAAGATTCATTTAAAATATTTAGAAAATATTGATTTTTCATGACGTTACTAGCCTCCTTAAGTCCTTAATTAATAAGTTAATCGGTTCTCATATTTTTCTCGATAAATATATACAAAGACAGGGGCGGATTCAGGATTCCGGAATGTCCTGGAGTGAAAAGAAATTATACTAGATTCAACATTAGCGGGGTGAGCTAAATATGAAAATTTTAAAATTTACACTAAAAAAATTGATTTTTTTTTTAAATTGCCCATGGACTTCAGTCCACCATAGCCTATACATACATGCTTCCCTTTACCTGTACAAAGACAGCGGGTACTACACATTTTTTCATTTGCATTCTCCCTGTATTCATCATTCCATTTAACATTGACTATGAGTGACTTAAATACGGAGTAATATTTAATTCAGGAATTCAAAATTTGAATCCGCCGGATAGATCTAACCCAAGTTGGTCAAGTAACTCAAGACCAGCGATTTATCCGGTATTTAGAAAAACATTCAACGGAGTAAAAAAACACAACTGCTATATTAGCTGTCATTGGAAACCGCGGTTAACTAACCACGGTCAATTCGCCTGCACGAAGCGGGGAGGGTTTCATTTGCCCTTTTTTCGTGTATATATAATCCCTTGAGGCCGGCCGGTTTGCTCATCTGTAATTAGAGAGGCGTCTTGATAAACGCCGATCTTAATTTCTCTCGCATTTCCTTCCATTTCTTCTGCAATTTTGAATAGCCTGCTCTTCGGTCTCAACAAATCTCGAAGATGAGGGAGTGCATTTCAATCCACATCGGTCAAGCTGGTATCCAGGTCGGAAATGCCTGCTGGGAACTTTACTGCCTCGAGCATGGTATTCAGGTATTGACATTGGATCGATTATGCTTGAACGTCCCTTAACCGTTTGGATCTATGTGAATGCATACGTGTTTGTTCGGTTTTGAGCAGATCTTCGTTTACGCGTCTTAGATAACCGTCTATCCTATTAGATCTGCACGAATGACCTTCAGTTTCGATATATCTGAACGTATTTCGTAATGGATCTAATTTTTCTACACAGATCTGAAGCATGTTAATATTATTTGAAAATATTTATCACCTTGCTGTGAACAACGTCGAAATTAATGCTATGCGCATGAACATTATTTGTTTTCCACGTCGTGTTTCTGTATACATTTTTAAATCCATATGGTTATTTGTCAATGCCACCAAGAGAATCTGTTTGATGCGTCGAGATTTATGTTATTCACATGAACTTTATTGGTTTTCCACGTCGTGTTTCTGTCTACATTTTTAAATCCATGTTGTTATTTGTCAATGTCACCAAGAGAATCTAATCTGTTTGAAGAGTTATATTCTACAGATATGTTAGGATGTTGTATACGAATTTGAAAACATTTTTCGCCTTACTGTGAACAATGTCGAGATTTATGCCAAGTACATAAACTTTATTGGTTTTCCACGTCGTGTTTCTGTCTACATTTTTGAATTCATATGATAATATCTCAATGGTATCCAGCGATTTTGTTTGAAGCATTTCGATCTACAGAAATGTTATTATTTTTATGAAACTTCGACCGTTTTCAGTTTTTGTTTAGTTGTAATCATTATTTATGAATGTGCCTGCCTAAATTTTACGGTGCCTTGTATTGAGATTTGGTTGAACGCTTCATTTTGTTATTTTACTATAACTTCTGATTGGCGCTGAATTCCTTTTCCTTTTCTTTTATCTGTCCTAGCCGGATGGCAACATGCCTGGTGACAAGACAATTGGAGGAGGTGATGATGCATTCAACACCTTCTTCAGTGAAACTGGAGCTGGCAAGCATGTCCCGCGTGCTGTGTTTGTAGATCTGGAGCCGACTGTCATTGATGAAGTTAGGACTGGAACCTACAGACAGCTTTTTCACCCCGAGCAGCTGATCAGCGGTAAGGAGGATGCTGCCAACAACTTTGCCCGTGGTCATTATACCAGTAAGTAATCTCCATCACTATTTTCTTCTTCCAAAGGTCACATGATATATACTCTGTACTATGTTTGAAACGTTTCAAGATTCTAATGATCTAATTTTATTTTTGATCTGGTGGTCAGTTGGGAAAGAGATTGTTGACCTCTGCCTGGATCGCATCCGCAAGCTTGCTGATAACTGCACCGGTCTCCAAGGATTTCTGGTTTTCAATGCAGTAGGTGGAGGCACTGGTTCAGGTCTTGGATCTCTTCTGCTTGAGCGTCTCTCTGTGGACTATGGCAAGAAATCCAAACTTGGTTTTACCATTTATCCTTCACCCCAGGTCTCCACTTCAGTGGTTGAGCCATACAACAGTGTCCTCTCCACACACTCTCTTCTTGAGCACACTGATGTTGCCATTCTCCTTGACAATGAAGCCATTTATGATATCTGCCGCCGCTCCCTTGATATTGAGCGCCCCACCTACACAAACTTGAACCGTCTCATTTCACAGGTCATCTCCTCACTCACTGCCTCACTGCGATTTGATGGAGCATTGAATGTTGATGTTAACGAGTTCCAGACCAATCTTGTCCCATACCCAAGGATCCATTTTATGCTTTCCTCCTATGCCCCTGTGATCTCAGCTGAGAAGGCCTATCATGAGCAACTCTCTGTTGCTGAGATAACCAACAGTGCCTTTGAACCATCATCCATGATGGTTAAGTGTGATCCTCGTCATGGAAAGTACATGGCTTGCTGTCTTATGTTCCGTGGTGATGTTGTTCCGAAGGATGTAAATGCTGCTGTTGCCACCATCAAGACCAAGCGCACCATTCAGTTTGTTGACTGGTGCCCTACTGGTTTCAAGTGTGGTATCAACTACCAGCCTCCCACTGTTGTTCCTGGAGGTGACCTGGCCAAGGTGCAGCGGGCTGTGTGTATGATCTCCAACTCCACCAGTGTTGCTGAGGTGTTCTCCCGCATTGACCACAAGTTTGATCTCATGTATTGCAAACGTGCCTTTGTGCATTGGTATGTTGGTGAGGGTATGGAAGAGGGCGAGTTCAGTGAGGCACGTGAGGATCTGGCTGCTCTGGAGAAGGACTATGAGGAGGTTGGGGCTGAAGGAGAGGATGAAGATGAAGGTGATGAGGGAGAGGAGTACTAGAGGCTAACTGCTGTTATATCTGCTTGTTTGTGTGTTTATCTTGTCCGTTGAATTTCAAACATGTCACTACATGTTGCTCTTTCTTTTTATTATCTCAAACAATGAAATTCTCTATGGATGTTTGTTTGCTTGTTACTGGATTGGGTTAGGGGTGTTCGAAATTTGAATTTCTTTGGAATTTAAAATCCATCTCAATTCCTGCACCATTCTCAGCCCCTGGTTTTCGAAATCAAGACATCCTATGGGAGCGCCAGAAAGTTCAAGACACCATCTTTTGACTTACAAACAATTTTTTTTCCTGAATTTAAAAGGCATTGGCAACTGGCAACAAACAATATACTCCGTATTTCCAAACACCTCGTCATTTGACATATCATCTGAATTTAAGATGATAGTCATGATACTCCGTAGTACTATTGACTATTCACATAAAAACTATTGAAATAGGGACAAATAAAACTCCAAAGCATCACTTAAGCAAACAATATGCTAGATCCAAAGATCAATTATCAAAATCTAGCAATGATGGATAGCCTATCGTTTTTGTTAGTGTTCATGTGTCCCTGTATCCGTCTGTACTCTATGAGTTTTGGAACACAAGAGGATGATCACAGCAGTTTCCATACCTATACCTCATCAGAAATTGAGTTTTGGTAGTTCCAACTTTTTTTCTCCTATTAAAACTTCAAAAAATGATACTGTGAACATCTTTGACTTATGGTGACTCCATCATTGGTCATAATAACTGAGTTTCCACTAAACTTTCTTCGATGCTTGAAATAATTCTTAAGGTCATGTATAGAAAATTCGTTGGTGTGACCACTGTTTCAGGAATTAGATTGTTAAACAAAAGCAGGCAACATCATTTCGCCGATCGCTAGTCAGAACCATGAGTAAATACATCCAGATCTTCACGACTTCACCTCCAATGTACACACTCTACGCACTAACAGGTTTGTGAGGAAGCTGAAATTGAAGTTCTTGTCAAAGAGATTCAATCCATATTAGTTCTGCTTCTGTTGATGATCTCTATCAATGGTACGTTGTTTTTCTGGAAGTCCACGAGATAGGGGTTTCCCAAGATAAATAATATAGCTAATGGTAGAGGGATAGTCATCTTCATCTCCAGTCCAATCACCATAAGAAAATGCATGTAAAATAAGAAGAGAAGTTTTATCAATATGAATATCATGATCTAGAGTTCCACAAAGATTGCGCAATCAACGTTTAACAGTTGCCCAATGATCTGTGCGTGGATCATGCATATATTGAGAGAGCTTAATTGTTAACTGCATAAGCAATGCATGCCGTGTAATAGTAAGATATTGCCATTTTCCAATAATCATCCGGTAATCTTCGAGTTTGTGGAAAACATGACTTGCCAATTTTGTTAATGAGGGATATTGGGCCAACTTTGCCAATTTTGTTAACCGCATAAGCAATGCCAGACAATGTAATTGTAAGAAATTGTATTTTCCTTATATTTTCTAACAAGTTTATTTTCCAAAGAAGAAGCTAAATTCTTTAATCCCAATTTTGCTATCTTGAACCTTGTTGAATGTTAAAGACTTAAAGTTGTGAGTTATTTCATTAAAATTTTCTTCTTGAGTAGTAATTCTTCCCTACGTACTCATATGTCTATATTAATGTTAGAGTGTTGCTAGGTAATGATTAATTTACGCTTTAACATTAATTAATACTTCATCCGTTCCCTTTTAATTGCAACAGTCAACATTTCACGTTTGCCAACGCACAAGTCTGACCATTAATATCTCTCGTTCCGTATTAGTAAAAATTATAAAAAATTCATATTTTGAAAATTTAGAATGAGAAGAATTTAACAATATGTTTTAATAAATTAATTTATAATACATTAATCAATAAAATATAGTCAAAGTAGAATATGTGAATAGTGCAAAAAGTCCAATGTTGTAATTAAAAGAGAACGGAGGTAGTACTTGAAATGATCAATGAACCGATGATTAATCATTGATTATTTCAAAAGTAGTAACACTAGTTTATTAGTGTATGCTTCTCTTGGCTAAAAAAACTACTTGTGTTGAAGTTGTCAATCTCACTTGATTTCATCAAGAATGAAAGAAATTAAATGCTACATTCAAGTCGGTAGACGACGCTTATTCTATATTTAGCTAATAGTAAGAATTATTAATGAACACATTTCATTATTAATAGCTATCCTTGATGAATTGGGAATACTCCACGATTGAATAATATTTAAGAGGAGACAGTTAAGGAAATAATGAGAATCAATAAACATTTCAACTAGTGAAAAGTAGAAAAACCAAGTCTTGATCACATACTTCATTCATCTTATTTTTTTAAATATTCTCAAGTCATACAAATTTAAAAAACCCCTTTCTTACAATTTCACACAAGAAGAATCCATTTCCATGTGACTACGAACTCTACTCCACTTTACTACGATATTAGTGCCTATGTTGCACGGATACGGATACGACGATACGACAACTTCAAAAATTATAGGATACAAGTATGAGGGTATATTTATAAATAATAATATAGGGTATAATTTGCAAATATATATAATTCAGAGGTTCATAAATAAAATAATAACAGTTTCAAGAAATAACAATTATAATTAAATTTCAAAGATTAGACTAAAAAACTAAGTACTGATATTTCAATTTAAATTCAAATAATATTAATGGTTCTCTATTTTCATTTGCATCTCAGTCCTTTAACAAGACTGATTTCAATTAATGCTTGTCAAGCGACAAATTGGCAAATTATAGTATTCCAATATTTTCCATACTCCCGAGATCATCTTTACTAATGTTTCACGTCTTGTGGTTGCTTGAGCGACTACTAAATTTTGTCATGTCGTGTATGAAATCAGGGTTATAGGGTTAGATATGCGTATCGGTTCACATATACAGGTATCGGAATTTTGATACCCGTATCCGTGAATCGATACGCGTATCTAACCCTATAACCCTGATTTAGTAAAAGTATCGAATTTACTAGCTTTTGAAAATATAGATACTTCAAAGTATCTATATTTTTAAAATTAAGTCCGATACTTTTATTAAATTACGGATACAGACCCACCACGTCGTGGTCACGTATCGGTGAGTATGAGTCAGATACGTATCGGATACACGGATACAGCATCAGGGTGAAGTATCGGTGCATCATAGTGATGGAAAGTCTACCCGGGGGGTATCTTATCCGAGGGGTTATTGCGGGAATAACTAGAGAGAAGTCAGAGCAAAATAGGAGGAGAGAGAGTCGATTTTATTAAATGAACTCAAGATGTGGAGTTGGATCTGGGATGTCAATGGTTTACAAGGAGGATTGGGCTGCTATTTATAGTAGTAATAAATGCGATGAGAATACACGTGTCAGTAATCCAACGGCCGAAGGGTCACATCAGCCGGTTGGCACCGGCAGTGGTACGTCCACCGCATTGAATGCGGTTGGCGGATGTGACGTGGCATTAAATGCGGTGGTTGGCTGTCTCTAAAAGGAATCTCCGATGATTGAGCGTGTTTGGCCGAAGGCTCCCTGTGTAGCCGAGGGCTCCATGTAATCGAGGACCCCTGTGTGGCCGAAGGCATGTCGTGACCGAAGGAGGATTTCAGCCGAAGGCCTCTCCGATGCCGAGGGCTTGATAGTGCCGAAGGCTCATGTTTTTCGCCGTTTTCTCCCAGTAGCTTCTTATGCCAGAGAAGGCTATCCTGCGAGGTTTGGAGCCTTCGGCCAAGGAAGCCGAAGGCACCCCAGTGTGTGTTCTGGGCTATGTTGAGGCTTGGGCCGCCGTATTTGGGCCTGAGTTGTTCTCTGGGCCCAATGGACTTGTGTAGGAGAAGTAGGAGTCTATGGGCCGGGGTCTCCCGGGCCATATACTCCATCAGGAGTCCCTCACTCCTTTTGCCGAAAGGTACTTGAGGGAAAAGGAGTAGATGCGTTGATTCTTCTGGAGGCTTTGTTATTTCATTTGGGTGCCTTTTCTGGAGAACTTGCCTTCTGCTGGTTGCCGAAGGCTTCCCTCAGTTCCTCACATATCGAGGGTTTCCTGAGGGAAGGTATACATCACCTTCGTAGGGCCGCTGGAGGCTCCCCTCAGTCCCTCATATGTCGAGGGTTTTCTGAGGGAAGCATAGATGTATTTCCTGCATGTGTTGTGATGAGGGCGGCTTCGTTTCCGCAAGTGACTTGGGGAAAACTTGTGATACCCTGCCTCTGCCGAAGGGTATATTGAAGCATGTACCCGAGGGTTTCTGCTCTGATGCCCGAAGGCTATATGCGTCAATTGTAGATTTCTGCTTGAGGAAATTTTGCATTTTGTTCTGTTTTGATGCCCGAGGGGTGTATCCCAGTCCCCCACTCCTTTAGGCCGAAGGCGAGTTCGGGCTGAAGGAGTTATGATGCGTCGATGGGCTACCGAGGGGTGGTAACATTGATGAGCCGAAAGCTTGGTGAATTTCATTGGCAGAAGGCTGTGGTGAGTGATAACCGGAGCCTATCATTCGAAGGCACCCCATTTTTGCCGAAATATAGTCGTTGTAATATAGCCGTTGGAAGAGGGGTTGACGTGGCGTGTCCTCGTTGGTCGAAGGTGGGCGGGTGCCACCCATTGGCTGAGCCGGCGGCCCGTAATGATGGGCTTTTCAAATCGAGGCCCTGTTCTCGAGGCCCATTGGCCTATAAATACCCCAGAACCTGAGTCATTCCCCTTGTGCGTTTCCGAATCTTAGCGAAGCTCTGCTGAAATTTCTAGAGAGAGAAACTCTTGCCCTCGATCAAACCCAACTCTCCGAGGTCAGTTCTTGCCTTGTTCTTGAGTCTCTCCGTATACTTTGCTTTCGGCCTGTAGATTTAGTGTTAGAGCAATCTTAGGAGCCTTCGGTCTGTAGCCTTCTTTTCCTTTTAAAAAGTTCCCACCTTTATCATCTAAGAAATGTCTTCGCAAAGCGACTCTCAAAACATATCTGAGGAGGCGCCGGTGCTGTCTGAGAGCATCTCTGAAGTGGAGTCTTCAAGTGAGCAGCCCTCGTCCCGAGGTGATTCCGCCGTGGCCGAAGAGGTCCAAAATAACCTTCGGACCGAGCTTGAAGCCGAGGACTTCGAGCAGGTAGCGGAGGATGAGGAGCTTGCCCTCGCCGTTCAGGTGGCGGAGGAGGAGGAAGAGAAGGAAAGATTGCGGGTGACTGTTGCTGCTTCACCCCTCCGGAACGACGCTGAAGCAGGGAGCTCTAGGCCCCTGGATCGGGAGCCTCTTAGTGTGGCTCCCGGGAAGAGGAAAAAGAAGGCGAAGGCAGCGCCTAAGAAGAAACAGGCCGCTGCCGATGCTGGGCAGCCGGTAGGTATCCCGGAGGGGCACTCATATTTGAACACCGCGGCCCTAGAGGTGAAGACCAAGGCCACGCACGCAGAATACATGGCGACGCAATTCTTTGCCGGCCCATCAGCACAGGTGGTGGAACCGGGGCCGAATGATGTGCTTCTCCATGCCCCCGAAGGCTGCTTTGCTGTACATATCCTGTCGGTCGAATTGGGCCTCCGCTTCCCCCTTCATCCCTTCATTCTTGAATACCTTCGGTTCGTAAAACTCGCCCCGTGCCAGCTAACCCCTAACAG